GGGAGGAGTTCCCATAGAGCGTAAGGACGAAGGGCAGGAGGGGCAATAGACTAGAGTGAGAGAGCGCAGTGAGGAAAGCGGAGCGCTCGACACTGTTGAACGCGTTTTCAATGTCTAACTGCAGTGCTACTCGCGACTCGTCCTCTTTAAGAAGCGCCCTGACTGAGTGGATGATGCATTCCGCGCCGCCGGTGACTGCTACCCCAAACTGCACCGGGAGAAAGAAATCCCTAATGTTTGGTGCTAGCTCCCGAAGTGCGGCCTTGGCTGTGACTCGCAGGATCGCCTCGCCAATCGCAATCGGCCGCAGGTCGCGAACTGGCTCTGTCTGAAGCGTGCTGAGCAGGTAGGAGACGACCTTGCTGAGGAGGAGCAGGACTTCTCCGTTTGTCAGGGCAGGATCCTTGAGGTGCTCAAGGCACGTTCCCGAAGGACCCGCTCCAACCCCGTTTGGGCATTTCGCGAGGATGTCGCGAAGATCGTCCGACGTCATGCTCAGGGCAGATCTGGTGTGCCCTGTAACCAGGCTCGGAGTAGGGGTTGCTGCTGCTGGGTGCTTCGATATGAGTGCCGCCAGGGTTTCTTGTGTCGGGGCCGCCAGCGGTGTAGTTCGAAGTGACGCGACAGCCTTAGATATATTTCCCTTTTTAATCAACCCCTCCGCTCTAGCACAAAGGCCTGCTTCATCCGGCTGGTATCGAGCGGGGCCATCACTAGCGGGGATGTAACTGGCTTCGTCAAAGAGTCCCCGCCAATTGCCGAGCTGGAATTGGTGTAACCGTTCCTCAATATCCGTCCAACGGCTTCCCTCGACTCGTTCCGGTCTTGGTCGCAGGGTCAGCCTTGGGAGGAACTGGAGAATCACCCATGCACCTGGGCAGTCTGGGGTTTTCGAAAGTCGAATCAGTGGTGTGAGAAGGCACAGCGTATAACTTTCCAGGATATTGGGGGGCATGCGGCGAACGAGGAATGGCTGATCTTCGTTCAGCAGTTGGCCAATGTCCCACGTGGCTGCTTCTAGCCACAGCGCTGTTTCCTCCGCAAGATCTCGTAGGGATCTGACCCCCGATTCCCCCTGTTCTCCATTCGCCACTCCTTCCTCTCTTACCCCCTCCTGCGGGTTCCTCCTGGGTTCTCCCCTTTCCCGACGTCCTCTCGCCGTGGCCTGCTCATCCTCATCCTCCCCCAACGAGACCTCTTCCGAAGCTACCGATGCCGAGGCTACATAGTCGTCCCCGTCGCCACTCGTTTCAGAGACGCCATCGTCCCGATTCGTGGGCCGGACCACCTGCTCCGGTAGGTCGTGGCGTTCCCGCCACGTTCCCGATCTCACCAGTGCTACCCTCCCGCCAACAATTGCGCCAACTATTGCGCCTCCTCTTCCGCGTCCCCCTCGTGCTCCTCTCCCCCCACCCCGGGCTCCTCGCCCCGCGGGCCCCCCCCCGCCCTGCGCCGCTTGCGGCGCTCTCCCCGCCGGGATCCACGGGCCAGCAGACGGAACGTGGGGCGCACTTCTCGGCTGTCCCCAGGTAATACCTTGGGCGCGTGTGACGCTTCTCGTCTCCCGTCTTGTAGCAGGTTGCGTGTCTTGTCGCAGCTGGGGCGCTTCGCCCATCGCAGTCCCTGCCCGGGCCGGTGTGTTGTGTCGCGTCTGACCTGCCTCTGCGGTCTCCCCACCGTTCCCTTGTGTTGCAGGTTGTGGTGCCGATGGCGGTCGATGCTCTTGCCCTTGTCGCGGTGGCGCTTGCAGAAGCCAGCCCAGGAGGGGTCCCGGGCGTCCAGGCGCCAGCCCTGCTCCGGGCCGCCTCGGCGCTGGTTGGGCTCGAAGCTTCTTCCCAGCCTTCCCGCGCGCGGCGCAGACAGACGCGCCGGGCCCGGGATCCCGTATATCGCTCCCCCCCTGGCCGTGCGCTCGCGTGCTTGCGCCCTCGGCAGCAGCAGACGTTCTGGCGGTCGTAGCGGCGGCCAGCGCGACCTCCTCGGCCCGGCCTTCAGCCCGTTCCCCTGCCGCCGTTGTCACCGCTGCAGCCAGTTCAGCCGCCGTTACAGGTTCCGGTGACGCTGCAAGCGTCGCCTCCTCCTCTGTCTGCTCCTGGTCCGTCGCCAGTTCCGCCTCTGCAGTCCGCTGCGGCCCCCCCCGGGGGCTGGCAGAGGGTAAGGCTGAGTCGCCGCCAAAGGCGGCGTCAAGCCCGTCAACAGGGTCTGGAGACACCACAGCCTCCACCGCCGTCGCTTCCACAGCACCCTCCTTCGGTCCCGTCACAACCAGATCCTCAGCCACCGCAGCAGCCCGCCCAGCCCCCGCTGCGCCGCTTCCCACTGCCACCACGGCCGCAGCAACCCCGCCTGCCGACGCCGCCGGTTCTCCCGCCACCTCCACAGGCACCACTATTCCCTCCCGTCCTCCCAGCTCCTCTTGCGGCCGCTCGTGTGGCTGCGACGCCTCTCCACGTCGAGCAACGCGTAATGCACGTGGGGACGTGTTTGACGCTGCTGTCATACGTCCTGGACCAGCTCCACGTGTGTCTGTCGCGTCAGGGCGTTGAGGTTGGGGGGATGATACCGTCGGAGCAGTCGGCGGCGGTGTCAGCGGCAACTGAGATCTTGCATTACCTCCCCCTGATCGGCCTCGTGCCGGGCGCCCCTGGTGCTGCACTCGGGCCCGGCCCCCGGGCGATGTTGCGGCTCGCGGAGTCTACTCGTGGGCCACCTCTCGGCCTTGTATCAGCAGCCGCATCCGTCCTGCGCTGGATGGACGGGAGGTTGTGCTGGATACTCGCCGAGTAGCGTGTGTGTCCCCCTTGCCAGCCCCCTTGCTAGCAGGCGTGGCCTTGGGCTTCCCCATGGCTGAGTCTACCCGCCCGGGGGTGTTGTGTGTTGTCTACTGTTGCTCCTGGCCCATGTTGTATCACTTGCTATTAGTGTCCTTGTCTTGCCTCTTCCTTGCCACCCCTCACGCGCGGCCGAAGGCCGCGCTGGCGAGCGGCGGCCGCCGGATTTGGCTTGTGATCCTAACTCATCGGTGAATAATGAGCTCACTAGCCTAGATCCAGGGTCTTTATACTAAGGAAACAGGCCTAGAAATGGCTAAGGACTAGATCCTAGAGAAGAGAGGCCTAGAAATGGCTAAGGGCTAAGACTATGCAATCTCTCTCTCTCTCTCTCTCTCTCTCTCTCTCTCTCTCTCTCTCTCTCTCTCTCTCTCTCTCTCTCTCTCGCGCGCGCTCTCTCTCGCGCTCTCTCGAACGAGCCGCCGGATTTGGCTGGTGATCCTAACTCATCGGTGAATAATGAGCTCACTAGCCTAGATCCAGGGTCTTTATACTAAGGAAACAGGCCTAGAAATGGCTAAGGACTAGATCCTAGAGAAGAGAGGCCTAGAAATGGCTAAGGGCTAAGACTATGCCATCTCTCTCCCTCTCTCTCTCTCTTTCTCTCTCGTACTCTCTCTCCTTCTCCTCATCCTCATTCCGTGTTTCTCTCTCTTCCTCTCTCTCTTGCTCACTTTCTCTCTCTCTCTCTCTCTTTTTTTTTTTTTTTTTTTGCTTTGCTTTCCTCATCCTTTATTTCATAATTTACACCTAGCCAAGCTTCCTTCATGGCTGCCTTCCTTAAGGATGGGCTTGCTTGTGCCCTCCTTCCGTCCTCTTGTTGTGGTGTCTTCATTTTTTTTTTTTTTTTTTTTTCAATCAACTTTTATTATTCCACACAAAGGCATACAAGCCTAGGCCTACACCCTATGCAGCCCATACGGCTGAGCTACTCCCCAAGGCTCCTAACCAGCCTACGCACCACCGGTGCATCCACCTACGCCCCCCGGCATAGTGGCAAGGGGCGCCGCCCCATGGGTCCTCTCACACCACGGGTGCGGGGCCTTGTGCGCCACGCCCTCCCATAGGGCAATTGTTTGCCATGTGTCCGGGCTGGCCACAACGGAAGCACACGCCCTTGAAGCGGGGCTCGTGGCAGCCCGCGGGTGGCATGCCCTTGCTTTCCGGTTCGCCATCTCGAGGGGGAAGGCGGCCTCTGCGGTTGAAGCCGGTGCGTGCACGCTTGAGGGCCGCCACGTCGGCTACCGCGAGCTTGTAAGAGCGCGACGTGAGTACGCTCTTGGCTTGGTAGAGCTGGAACCGATCCGCCGCCTCAAACCCGGCCTCGTCCGCCACCAAGAGCACCTCGAAACGTTTGTTGATTAGCGTGTTGACTTGCGCCACGTTGGAGAGCGCGCCTTCGACGTCGCCGTGTTGGAGTTTGAACTCGACGTGCCTCAAGTGCGCTTGAATTGCAGAAAATACCTCTGCCTGGTCGCGCACTCCTTTGCGCATGAAGGTAGTAGCTGCGGGTGACGGGTTAAGGGGAGGAAGGGGGGGTGCGGGTGCAAGAATGCGACGGTGGGCAAGGTTGTCGGGGGCCTCACCGTCGTCATTATCGGAGTTGTCACTGTCGTCAATTGCGGGAGCTTGAACTGGTTCAGTAGCCAGGGCGGGCGCCGGAGCAGCGGTGGTGGCGCGAGCGGCCTTGGTGGTGCGGGTTGCAACGGCTTTTTTATGCTTTTTCCGTTTTTACGGACGCAGAATTATAGTCAGTCGAAGTAGCGATTGTACCGGGCACTTGCTGCTGCAATAACGAGAAAATCGCCTGCAGCTGCTGCGCAGTCAAAGGGGGGGGGGGGGGGGGGGGGGGCGTTGACTTGCGCGACGTCAGCGGAGGGTGCCGCACGCTGGCGTTTCTGGGTCGTGGGCTCGGGTTGACCCGCGTCAGCCGCGGTCAAGACGGCGGCCGCGTTAGCGGCCGTCGTCGTCTTCTGCAGCGCGCGTGCCTGCCTGCCAGGCACGCGCTCTTCAGCAGTCACGCGCGGCTGCACAGCAGCCGCGCGTGTGTCTTCTGACGCAGCGCGAGGGGTGCCCCCGAGCAGAAGTTCGACAGCCGAGGGTCCCTCGGCAGAAATTTCTTCGGCACTCCTTTTGCCGCGACGATCGGTTGCCCCGGCGGGAATTGAAGCTTCCGTCCCGTTACCGGGGCTTGACGTGGTAGCGTTGTCGCGGTTAAGCGTCGAGTTCGCCGGAGTCATATCAGCTAAGTTGCGCTGAAGGATATCGTTTAGGAGTGTTGTCGGGGCTGTGAAGCGCGGAAGAGATTGTGTCTTCGCCAGAGTGACGAGAACAAGAAATTAGAACTACAAATTGAGAAATGAAAACGTGGGTGGGGACGAATGTCCCCACGTCCCTCTTTTGTAGGCAAAAGAGGGTGAGTAGCGCTTCGGCACTACCTTTGCTGTGCTGGCCACGTACCCCTTTTCACAATACAAAAATTATCATATCATTGTACTAGTTATTAATCATTATACTCGCTATCTATTATGCTACTGGCTATCGATCTTCGTGTTCAAACAGCGTTCGTGATGTCCATCGATGTTGGGGCGGGGGGTGGGAGAGTTGTATGAGCCGTTGGAAAAATGAGAGACGTGGGTGGAGGGAAATGAGCTCCAACCCATGATTTGTAGTTGGAGAAGGGCGTTTAGCGCGCTTCGACGATGCCAAAACATGCGTTACAAGCAGCTGCGCTTTCGAAATACGAAATTTTGAAAAACACTTCGTGTGTTTAAAAATTATTATTTGATGTTCAGAGGCATTGTGAAAGACCAAAAGATTACAAGAAGAGCTTCCCGAAGCGCGTCGCGTCAGATTAAAGGAGGAGCTGCATGGCAACTCCTGCTTGAACCTGATGCCTCCTTGGCTGCTATGGGTGTTGTCTTCCGTCAATGATGGTAGGCGTGGACAAGACGTGGAGGAGCACAAAAATATCCGACAGTGGCGAATACGATGTCCGATATGTGAGGTAGTATATTCGCTGTAAGGGCGTGTGTCTTTCGGCGCAGATTGTAAAGTTCATGATTTTATTTCGAGATTTATCAATTGAACATTGGTCGACCTGATTTCCGGAATTTCAACATTTGTTTGTCGAATCGCGTGTTCAATTTTCGCGTCAAGTGCTGGTCACAAAAATGCTCGACTATCGAAGTTCGAGCTTATAGGGTAGTGCCCGAGTCGCACTACACTTTTGTAGGTTACCGTATGTTGTTACCGGAATTCGTTAGTGTTATGATATGTACTAAAAAGAGTACGCGGCAGACTTTATAAAAAGGATGTGAAGTTGTAAGGATTTTTCTAGACATTCTTTAGCGCACACTGCAACATCGCGTACAGCAGCAACCGTTGTTCGCCCGTTACAAATAACGGGGCTTCGCCGACTTCGCGCACACTGTTTCACCAAACCTCACACTGCCGGCCCGGCCGTGTCGGCCTACGCTACGGAACTAGCCCGAGCCTCGCTGCCAGCGTAGCACTAGCTAGCTCGCACGCACCGCGTTACCGTTTGCATGCTTCGCGTATAAATGTTCGCTCATGCCTTTGCTCACATTTTGTACTCGTTTGACACCTTAATGCAATCCTCGCTACCTCGATTCATTGCACCTGTAAAACTTGGTACCGTATCGCCCCGGATATAAACGCAGGCCTATGTTAAGCGCTTCTATCTGGAGCAATGCGCTTATGGCCGATCCTCAGTTAGAAGCGCAGCCTAAAAAAAAACGTTACTTATTGTAAGCGCACCCTTGCTGTATGGACAATGACGTATGTTCTTTTTGTCAGAACTATACTCTAGGCTGTAGTGGGGCACCCCTTATGGGGTACAGCCCTGTTAGGTTTTGCCCATACAAGCCTTGTACTGTTCTCATTCGAGTCATTTTCCCTTGTTCTAATTCTCACATGGTATCAGGGCAGGTTCCCTAGTGGGAACGTTTTTTTTAGGGCCCACCACTAACTTTTTTTTTGCCCTGCCCGAAGCGCACTGCCGTGCCTGCCTGCCCCGTTACGCGCCTTGCGCTTGCCTACCCGCGCCTTAGAGCGCCTGCCCTGCCTGCGCCCTCGAGCGCCTGCCCTACCCGCGCCCTCGAGCGCCTGCCCTACCCGCGCCCTCGAGCGCCTGCCAGTCGCCCTGCCCTGCAGGCCGCGCACGGGCCTGCCCTTCACCCTCGACGCCGCCCCTGGACCCCGCGGCGCTGCCACTGGACCCCGCGATGCCGCCGCTAGACCCCGCGACGCCGCCCCTAGACCCCGCGACGCCCCTGCGGGACCTGGGCGTCGCTCCTGCTCGTCGCGACGCCCCTGCGGGACCCGTACGTCGCCCCTGCTCGTCGCGACGCCCCTGTGGGACCCGCGCGGCGCCGCTCCTGCTCGTCGCGACGCCCCTGCGGGACCCGGGCGTCACCCCTACTCGTCGCGACGCCCCTGCGGGACCCGGGCGTCGCCCCTGCTCGTCGCGACGCCCCTGCGGGACCCGCGCGGCGCCGCTCCTGCTCGTCGCGACGCCCCTGCGCGACCCGCGCGGCGTCGCCCCTGCTCGTCGCGGCGCCCCCTGGCCGCCGCGCCCTGCCTCATCTGCGGCCCGCCCGCGCCCTGCCCCACCCCGCGCCCGCCCTTGTGGCGGCCGCCCCTGCCC